TAAAAAATCACAACACCGCAGTAGTTCTCAGGAAGCATTTTTAATTTAATGAGATTTGAAGTAATGTTGATTTCTGTATAATTTACGAATGAAAATTTTCAACTTTTGACTCAAAAAAGACGCTTTTCTAATTGTAATAAATAAATGGAAAATGGAGTGTAGGGGGAAACGATCCACCATTAACTACCCTAAACTACTTCGCTTCATATAACGAGTCCTTAAAAGAAGGCTTGCTGTGGACAATGGTCGAAAAAGTGGTCCGATCCGACTCATTATCAATAGCATTCGTCCTTGGGGCAGAGCGTGTCGGTGTCCTAATTTCATGAACATCCTACAAATGTTCGGCATGTAGGAGAAAGAAAGAACAACACACAACAAAATGGACAGATAGACAGACAGGCAGACAGACAGATGGACGGAGAGGCATAACGGATCGTAATAATAGCAGGTGAATCTATATCAAGTCTTTCTGCAGACGTCCCCATAAGGTTAATACATAACATCTTTGTACCACAAATAGCGTAGAGTATAAAAATGTTTGAATTGACTTATCAAATATATTTTCTACATATTTCTCTAGACAATATTTTTTTAAATGTATTGTTAAAAATTCGAATAAAAAAAGTGAACAATATTAGAGTTACGTTGCGGTCCAAATGAAAATATCGTGTTTCGAGAAAAACGTATTTAACATTTTTTATTACGATAAACTTTTTATTATGAAATGAAATTCTCTACAGTTCAGTGCATCTGTCGAGAGGAAGACTTTTTTTTTTTTTAAATTTGACTTAATTATTTCCCATACATAATCGTTCACAAACGTAGTACTTAAAAAGATCTCTTATACTTATACTTTTCTACATAGTACAAGGTAAAAGAAGAAACGTTTTGAAGAGGCATGCTATTAAGCCTATGTAGTCGACATAAAAAGGTGATTGCAAAAATCCGAATATCGGGAATATCGGGAATTAAATTGCACAAAGCTTAGTTGTCTGTTGATGGGAAGGCTCGACTGTATTTCCTTATTGAAAACATTGAGTGCATTAAGTGATGAAATTGTCCTGTGTTCATTTAAAAACAAAACTTTTTCACTGCTATTTTCAATATATTGTGTTATGGACTCAACCTTAATTGTATTCATTTTACAGCTATAAGTACGCGCTCATCCGTACAAGCTCATACATATAAATACATTCATCCAATGTTTTACCTTTATATGTCTTCTTCACTCGAATCTTTTACGCGCTCTTTATAGACGTGTATATTTTCATCATATTTAAAATTGCTGAGCGTGTGAAAATTAATTAAAATTATTCGACTTCCTTTTGCTTCCACTTCCCTCAGCGTTCCTTTATCGTTCAGTCAGTGCATCATCAGCAGGCAACACACGACGACGGTCTTGTGAAATAACTGAATTTTAATTGAACGCAATCAATTCAATTTCATGGCTCAAAGTCAATTTGAATTTACATACATATAAACATATATACGTAATCTACATACATATATTTTTACGTCAATAGACAGTCAATAGTGCCAGCAGTGGCAGCTATAGTTAGAAGCCTTAAGGGGTTATCCATACATTGACCTTCTTTCACCTTTTTTTCTTGTTTTTTCTTTTTTTTTTTTTGTTGTTTTTTTTTTATTCATTTTTTTCTCTTTGTAGCTTCGTTACACAGTCTTTAAATAGCTTCGTTGTCAGGATTTGAAATCTTAGCGATAAAAATTTTCATTCCAATATCTTTTTTGAAGCTATTAATGAAGCGTCATCGCTGGGCTAACGAAACGAGTTTTCAGTTTAACATTTCGTTTAATGAATTTTATGAAAACCTTCTCACAAACAATAGCGAAAAGCTTCTGCACGTTAAGAACAAGAGCAACGAGGAAATTATTAAATATATATAAACGAGTGTATATTGTAATAAAATTCTAGAATAAATTGAAATTTAATTGTTATCGACCGGCTTAAGAAAAATAGATATCGAGGATATTTTAAGTAAGAAAAAAAAAATAAAATAAAAAATAAAGAATCATTCGAAACATTCTTCAAATAATGAAATTCCTAGCAAAAAATACCTTATTATATATTATGAATATATTTTATATACGCCTTGATGCTAGCTACATTTTCACAATAACAAAATATTATTACATAATTAAAAGTATTGTATTGATTATACGCGTATCAGTTCGTTAATTGGAATTGCATTCATTTCGAAACGGCCATGGTCCCTTAAATTCCTCGTACACTGACGGACCAATCGCTATCCTTAACCGTTTTCTAGCGACATTTCACAGCTATAACGATACGATTTTTTTTCGATCGACAGATGTCCCCTATTCGTGTAATACGTGGGCGTTCAAAAGCAGTTGAAGAAAGCGATAGAGCAGCACCAGTTAAGCGCTTACTACAAGTACGACCAAAGTAAGCTGTACGGCATTGAGATTTGAATCAGCGGATACAGACTTGGTAGTCGCGATTCCTATCTATGCGGCTACTCACGCGCATCCACTTGAGTTATTAGTCGATATCCTCTGCCTACTCGGCCACTTCTAAATTCCTGAGAAGAATTTGGTTAAAATGTCCAAAGAACAAATGAAAACACTGTAGTGGGGCATCGTCAATCTTTGAACACCCTATATCATCGTATATTATCTTTTTAAAATAATACCTTTTAAAGGAAGCGGTCGAAAAACTTGTCTGATCTGAACTGTTCTCAATAGCGTTGGTTTTCGGACCACAACACGGGCGAGTACGGCAGCCCACCAAAATATCTTAAAAATTTGCAACCTGCAGGTTGAGCACAAAAATACATAGACAGACGGACAGATGGACAGACAAACTTAAATCGATTCAAATAATGAGGGAGGTTTATCTCCTTCTGGATGTTGCATACATTTGACTAAACTTAATATACCCTCTTACCACAAGTGGTGCAAGTTGTCAAAACACAAAAAGCTCACAAATTAATTAGACGCGATTGTAGTCATTCTGAAAGCAAGAATTTTAATTATTAATCACAACATGCTAACCGTCCTTGAGTTATTAACACTTATAACTATAATGCTTTCTAGTGCATATACTTTGCTTTAACTTTTGCTGATACTCTGTAATAACTTCTCATTTTCAATCGCTAGTAGTTTAAATACGAAGATCTTTACAACGTTAAAAAATGAACAACAAAGAAAAAATTAATTACCAAATTAGATAGGGTAACATGTGAACATTTGCCAATTATTGTATGGCTCCAAAAGTGTTGTATAAAATGCTTAGAATACCTTTGTTGTTATTAATTTAAACTTGAGAAATTTGAGCGAAAAGATGCTCAAAGAACTTTTTTCCACATACAAATACTAAAACTTAGTTTCATTTAGAACGACCAACTGCAGCAATGAGAGTAGAATGATATAATCATTGGCTATGATTATGGGCATGTGATTTATTTAAGCAGTGGTCTAAAGATTTCACTGAAAAGCTGTACTTGCTCTTTTTCTACCGTTTCCGATTTTTGTCTTTCACTTTCATCTTAACCTTATAATTTGTAATTTAATACTGTTTCATTTATTCTTGTATTCCACGCCCGCTCTCATGTACATGCAAATGAACTTGTTACGAAGTTAACAAAAATTAGTAAACTGCCCCGACCAGATAGACTTTGTCGGATATTCCTTTTAAAATAAAATTTTGCATACAAGCGGAAATGTTAACACCGTCCGCCATATTAATGGTTTGTTTGACATTACACTTGTCGTACACTTTGATCTAAGAGGGAAATAAAAAAATTTCAAAGTCTCTTTGCTTTGTTTGATGAGACAGACTCACATTGGGACAATTTATTGGCTATTTAAATTATTTGAATCTTTATATATTGAGAAGAAGAAAAAAAACATCAAAATATTTTATGGTGTTCAATGTATTGTTATTATTGGCAATCGATGCAATCGATGCAGTTGTTTCGTACTTTTTCCTTTTGATTTACATTTGGATTCAACCAAGGCGGTACGACTGGTTCATATTTCGCATCATAAATCTGATGCTTAAGAAAGGCTCTTACATTAGTCGGCCTCGGTAATACCGTTGATAAATTCTTAATGTGAGCGTACGTAACAACGCTAATTGCGATTTCGAAGGCGCAACAAGATAGTTTATTTAAAGGAGGATATAAACGACCTTGCAACAAATCCTCAGGCGTGCAAAGGTCGGCTAAAGTGCGGGCAGCAATTAAAAATATTTCAGGCGGTATATGTCGAATGCAACATGCAGTTACGCCCAAACCTACACCTGGAAATATGTAGGCATTGTTTGCTTGACTGGTATAATGGGTACGTCCTTCAAACTCTAATGGCGGAAACGGTGAACCCGAAGCAAATAAGCATTTACCTTTACTGTGTGTATATGCTTCAAAAGCTGTACACTCCGACTTTGCGGTCGGATTTGATAGGGCAAATATTATGGGCACAGCATTATATGAAGTCATCAATCGAAGGGCTTCTTTAGTAAATGAGCCGGGCTGAGCAGAGGCTCCAACCAATATAGTTGGTTTTATTTCTCGTATGCAGTCTTCCAATTTAAAAATAGGCGGCATTTCTTTCGCGAAAATCAATTTATTGCCATTGAGAGTATCCAGCGAACGCTCTGTTACAACTAAGCCTTGGCTGTCGCGCAAAAAGATACATTTAACCGCCTCGTCTTGTTTTACGCCCGCCTTTCTGAAAGCAATTATCAAAAGGCGAGCTAAACCAATGGCAGCTTCTCCGGCGCCCTGAAATAAAATTCTTTGCGATTTCAAATCAGTTCCAATGCATTTTAATGCAGAAATTATTCCAGCCAGGCCGACAGCAGCGGTTCCCTGAATATCATCATTAAACATGCAATACTGATGGCGGTATTTTTCCAAAAAGCGGAAAGCATCATTATTAGCAAAATCCTCAAATTGTATTAAGCAATTTTGGCCAAAACGTTTAACTACTGCTTGCATAAATTCATCGATAAATTCATCGTATTCATCAATTGGTGGTCTTTTACGCTTCAAACCCATATAATAAGGTTCCTCTCTGACTGAATCCGTATTGCAACCCACATCCAAACAAATGGGTAAACATTGATGCGGACGAACTTTACCGAAGGCCGTATATAACGTAATCTTGCCGACGGGTATGCCCATTCCATTTGCCCCCAAATCGCCTAAGCCCAAAATACGACCACCATCGGTGACAACAATCACACGTACATCTGATTGCGGCCAGTTTTGCAATACATTACAAACATGTCCCTTGTCTTTAAAAGTAATATATAGACCGCGCGGAAATTCGTGAATGTAGCTGTATCTCTGGCAAGCAAGTCCCACAGTTGGTGTATAAACGTACGGTAAACATTTTTCCGTATAAGCTTCCAATAGTTTGTAGAATAAAACCTCATTGTATTCACTCAGATTAAGCAAAAACAAATATTTCGCCAAATCTTCCTTCAGGGTAAGCAATTGCGTATAATAGATGCGTACTTGCTCTTCAACTGTACGTACCAGAGGTGGTAAGAGACCGTGTATGCCCAATAATTGTCGCTCTTTAATTGTGAAAGCTAGGGCTTTATTATAATGCTTGCTGTTTAAACGCATCATACCACTTGTGCTCGACGGCACGAAACGTCTACCGCTAGTAAAATTGAGTTCGGGTGGTTGTTTTTTATACATTTTGTTTTGCGTTTCTTTTCTTTTTTTTTAATTTCTCATATACTAAAAATTTATATATTGTAGCTTGGCGGAAGAAAATATTTTGTCGTAGAAAATTTTTTTACTTGAAATTCTTCTTCTTATTTTTAAAAGGCATTCAGCGGAACGGCACTCAACAGATAGTTATTCGTGTCATATTGAAAAACAGTCGGTGCGAACACAGAGTATTTTGCCTAAACCTTAATAAAGTCAGTGATTAATTTAGGTTATTTGTTGTTGTTTATTTCTTTTGTTACTGTGTTGTTGCGAATCTCACTTTTCTCGATTTCGAAAAAGGAGGAAACGCGGAATTTGTGTTTTTTTATATCATACTTATGTTTGCCAGGCAAATATCGAGCGAAGCAAACAAAATCGACGAAAACTTGAAAAATCGTAAGCTCTTTTTCCTAGAGATTGCACCGTTCAAAATCATTGTAAATTTTTCTTATATAAAGATGAAAGAGCTTTACAATTGACTAAGAAAAACCAATTGATGGTATTAAGGGGAGAGGAACAAATTTTTTGATGGCTTTACGTTTCCGTTATTATTTTATAATTTACCTAACAGTTGACGCTTAATGGAATGAAAGACGCACGAAGCCAACTGTGCGTTGAACGTCAGTTTCAGATCGTCAGAACAAATACTGACGAATATTTCGAGGATAAATATATAAGAAGTAATTAATCTAAAACCCCGTCAACATCACATGGTAGCTAGATATACACACATATAAATATTTGTACGGTGAAAAGAATTTACTAAGAGCATCAGGAAAATTTCAAATATGGGCCATACATGCATCGATCGTCAACAGTTTGAAAATTTTCCTGCAAAATATTTATGCTCTTATTGCAGAGCTTTATATCTGAGCGAAAAACTGAACCAAATTACTTTCATAGGCCTTTCTTGAAATCAACTTTCGACAATTCAGAGAGTTTTGTAGGGATACACACACAATTGGAGAAATAAATGGCACGCGAACGGCGAAAGATCCGCATTGTGCGATATGTCCATGATGATTTTCTACACAAGCCCCCTCTCAATTTTTTTCCAAAGGGCGAATACCCATGGACTGGACTTTTCGTCTTCGTGGGAAACAACATCTCTTCTATAAGTCACCTTTCAATGCTCTACCTCAGTTCAGTGTTTTCATCGGATTTCTTGCGGGCGGTAGAAAGTGGAATCAATGTACCGATCTTTCTAAAATTTTTGATGGGTTTCATTGACTTCACCAATGGTTAGTGGAGTGGGTTTAATATTGCAATTCCCAAGGCGAAATTAATCAAACCATCTGGCTGCTACTAAATTCGATAAGGCATCTTCATTAAAAAAATTAAAAAATTTTCTGTCAAACGTTTACGAAAGTTTATCATCTGGTTTGAAGTTATATCGCAAGACGTAACAAATTTTGCCGGGATATTCAGTTCATAATCAAAACGTAACTACTTTCACCTGAATTAACAAATGTAACAATGTATTTTTATTTTCTATCTACGGATGTTCACCTTGCAAACTCGCTTAGTAGAGGTTCATAGCGATAAAGTAAAGCCATCGATTGGTAAAAATGCCACAAAATTTTTCCTTGGCCTATTATGCATACCGGGAACACAACAACCATCAGCAAATTTATTTGTTAGTATTTATTAACGAATTGTCATCGCTGACGTCCAGCTGCAGCTCCAATTGATAAACGGGCAAAACTAATCCAAAGAAAGTAAGAACAATTTAATTATTTTACTTAAGATTTTTTTGATAAATGAAATCAAAAATTTGCAAAATAATGACTTATTGTTTCTTTTTGCTGTACGTAAATGAAGAAATTTAAAAATTCTTATTTGATGCTTTTATTCAACATTCAATTCTACCGTAAGCCGATGCCTATATAGTAAACACTGCGCTACTATTGGGATTTATTTTGTTTGTAACATTTTAACTAAGTAAACGAGTGAGAGAAATCTCAGTACATACGCAAACATAGCTGAATACAAAATAAGGATTGATAGCATATTACAAGAGCTCTTTTCGCCTAAAAATTGAAAAGTACATCATCATCGTCATCATCACCAACATCAACATCAACACGAACATCAGAATACTCAGCACTCGACATAACATCATGTGGTTTAAGTATAAATAAAAATCAAAATCGTAAAATGCTATCAATAGGGAGAACTTGAGTACTTTAAAAGTGAGTAAGGTGTCAGATGGAAAAAAAAGGAAGAGACACTCGAAACGGCAAGAGGGTTAGTTACTGTGCGTAAAGAGGAGATTCTAACATAAATAGAAACACCAACGACAACAGCAATAAAACATAAACACAAGTGTTAGTCATGAAAATGGCAAAAGTATGTTCTCGTATTGAAAGCGGAGAATACACAAATAAGGAGCAGAACAAGGCACGGAAATAAAACCTAAAGCCAAGATGAATGAAATGTAAATACAGTCATCTCTCATTTTATACGATACAAGTTTCGAAGACTGCAGTTTGCATAAAATTTAAGCAATTAAGCAATTAAGGTAAAAAAAACTGATCGATGTGACGATCAATACGAATTTAGCTAACAAAGATAGCTCTGTAAAGGTCCTACTGCCATTATTATATCACTGTTACTTAGTTAGCAAAATATTTTAGTGGGCGCCTAGTGAGTCTATACAAAAACACCTTTCAAACAAACTAAACGAATTTTAGTGCGGCTTTCCAGAACTATGCTTACCAAATCATATTCGAGATGTTGGTGCACTCAAATCAAAACTTTTACAACGATATTCACTTATATCATGTGAATGTATATGGAAGTACCTTTCGAATACGCTAGAAATAGTTAAATTCTGCTTTTAGGAACTATTTTCATCCTTTTTTTTCAAGTTTGAGACGTTAGCTAAAAAAACAGCTATGGAAAAAACCCTCAAATTTGAGACTCCGGCGCAGCCAAACTAAAAACGTCGTCTATATTCTACTATATCATGTGAGTCTCTATAGAAACACCATCTTTCAAGTCCGTCCAATACACCTCTGTGATACAGGATGGTACGTGTATTCGCTTATTAAATTCGTATTTATTTTCAGATCCTTAAAAAACCGGCTATGAAAAACCCACAATTACAAAAATAATCAATAAACTTTTCCCATATTTTATTTACATCAGGTAACACAATACAATACAATTGGGCCAAGGTTTTTCATCCTTCCTCGCATTTAAATTTTGATTCTCGTATAATAAGTTTTTTCTGTTCAACGAATCGCAAGGTTTGAAAGTTTTTAGAGGACAGAGACGAAAACGAAAAATCAATCGATAAAGGTATGCATGAAACATACGAAAACTCACTAACCTAATATAAAACACCAAGTTGTTATGAACCTAGTAAGTCATTATGTCCACTCTTCATGTCATATGTTAGTTTGTAATGTTTGCATTTATGCCTTGTTGGCTAAAATTTGTCATACTATATAATAGTTTGAGATCAGCAAATATATTAAATTTAATTTTAAATCATTCACGGGACATTTCCTTCTCAGGAGTAATCACAACACCATATGGTATGGCTACCTTCCAATAAACCGAACGAACATCGAATTTCAAATGTTCATCATTACTGTTTTGCCGTTGGTTTCTTAAATCCAATCTGTATGGATGTGTGTGGTAAAAAAAATTCATCTTTAAGATGGCAGGGAAAAGCAATGCAAGGTCCCACTGTACTTATGCTCATACAGATGTAGAGTACACGAATAACTAAAGAAAATATTTGAATGTTGAACGAGAGAAAAACACATAAGTAAGTAAGAATTGCTTTTGTAAGAAACATAAGCTCAGTATCAAATCGTCATCATTAGTGGGGAAATGTGCATGTTATCATTTGGAAACCTTAGTGAAATTTTGATACTTTACTACTTAAGATCTTCAAGTGTAAACCATATTTGCTATATAATTGAATATGCTTTGACTTGGATGAAGTACTGGAAATGTGTAAAGATTTTCGTTTTAATGATTACTTACTAATCGCAGATGACGGTTTTGCATTAATTCTCTTTGCCGGAGTGCTCCTTCCTGGAAACCCTATGAGTAAGAAAATTATATTCGCGTAGAGCGAATCTTTCATAACCATCCAGGATATGTGAGTTTGTCTCTTGATGATTAACATGCAACTGTAAGATTAATCTGCAAGCTTAAGCTAAAAGTTTCCGACTAGTTTTATTTCAATTTTCTCAGACTTAAGAGATCCCGCAACCGACACATATTTCACGCTCAAAGAATGAGCGACTTAATACAAAAGTTGTCATCATCTTGTTGGACTACAAGCCTAGTTGAATATGCGGGCAGTTATTTTGAAAGAAGGCACAAATTTCAGTCTTCACCTAAAATGAATCATTTTACGTGCTTCGTAAATTTACGGGCGGGAACATTGCAAACAACGATTTCTCTTCGAATTTCACTATGCAATTATCCTTGGGTCGATTAGTAGACTAAATGCAAATGATAATTAAGATTAAACCAGTTTTCTGATGATTTGATAATTTTCTGGATTGAACTAAAATAAGTGGGAGGCCGTCCATAATTCAATGCTTTACACCACTTTGCTTAATACACTTAACTATGCGGCGATTTTTCAGAACAACGCTTGATATGGGGAGTGGTCCAAATAGTTATCCAATCCGCAGTATTTTCAATACCGCTCGTCCTTGGACCAAAGCACGTAGTTGTACCAAATCGCATCGAAACATCTCAAGAATTTTGACTTGCAGATTGAACACAAGACAACAAGATACATATGCATGCAGGCAGACGAACAGACAAACAAAAATTTGTCGGTATGCCTCGTATTAACGAGAAAATAAAGCGCTATTTCCTTGCATTGATTGTGTACTTAGCAGGAGTTCGCTCATTCGCGAATTACTTTTATCCTATTACCCTCTCCGCGAAATGAAATGTGACGTGTGCTAACTTGAAACGGGCCTGCATTTGAAAGGAAATGTGTCCGTGTG